TGGATTGGGATGGGATCCATGGGATCAATGGGATGGATTGGGATGGGATCCATGGGATCAGTGGGATGGATTGGGATGGGATCCATGGGATGGATTGGGATTGGGATGGGATCCATGGGATGGATTGGGATTGGGATGGGATCCATGGGATCAATGGGATGGGACACCCCAGGCTCACCTGGGAGCTGGGCAGGTGCAGGAGGCTCCTCCAGGGGCAGCTCCGTGGGTGTCACCTCCTCTGGGGCCACCTCAGGGGTCACCTCGGGGGTCCCAGCCAGGCTGAGCCTCTCCAGCCGCGCGTTTTCCTGTTTCACCTGAATCCCCAAATCCCCAAATCCCAAAATCCCAGATTTGGGATTCCCCCTGCGCCCCTCAAACCAGGCATGCCCCAAGGGTGCCCCCACACCTCTGTCCCCATGAAGGGACAATTTTGGGGACCTGTCCCCTCCCCTACCTGGGCAGTGAAGGTCTGGGCTCGCTGCCGGCACCGCTGCTCCAGCTCCACCTCGGTGTCCAGCGCCGCCAGCTCGGCCAGCAGCGCCTGCGACGCTGCCGGTGACACCGGCGGTGACACCGCGGGGGGTCAGGGCCTGCCCGCGGCCACCCGGGCCCAGAGCGTGGCCAGCACAGCCGGGAGCGGGGCCAGGGACACTGGGGACAATGGGATGGGACACTGGGGACATCGGGGATGAGAGACTGGGGACACTGGGGACAATGGGATGGGACACTGGGGACATCGGGGATGAGAGACTGGGGACACCAGGATGGGACACTGGGGACACTGGGGGCAATGGGATGGGACACCAGGGACACCGGGATGGGACACTGGGGACGCTGGGGATAATGGGATGGGACGCTGGGGACATGGGGAGAGGACACTGGGGACAACAGGATAGGACACTGGGGACGGCACACTGGGATGGGACACTGGGGACATCAGGGTGGGACAGGGGTTTGGGACATCGAGGACACCAGGCTGGGATATTGGGATGGGACATTGGGGACATCAGGGATGGGACACTGGGGACAATGGGATGGCACAGGGCTCACCTTGCTCCAGCTGGGCCAGCCGAGCCTCGGCATCGCCTGGCACCGGATCCAGGGGCAGGTGCTGGGGTGGGAAAAACGGGAATGAGGCGCTGGGTTGGCACAGAATTCCATTGGCACGGAATTCCATTGGCATGGCCGTGGCAAATGTCACAGTGCTGGCACGGCGTGCCAGTGGCCGTGGCATTGTCATGGCAGGGAGTGGCCTGGGGATGGAATTCATTGGGATGGGATGGCCCTTAGGATAATGGCTTTGGGATGGAAATTCCATCGGGAATGGAATTCTATTGGGATGGAAATCCATTGACATGACATGCCACGGGTGTGGAATTCCATTGGCACTATCAGGGCATTCCATTGGAATTCCATTGAATTTCCATTGGCACTGGCAGATTATTCCATTGGAATTCCATTGGCACTCTCAGGGCATTCCATTGGGATTCCATTGAATTTCCATTGGCACTCCCAGGTTGTTCCATTGAGATTCCATTGGAATTCTGCTGGAATTCCCACCACCAGCTCTGGGGACCCCCGGGATCCGGAGACGGGGCACCCCCCCCCCCTCCCCCCCCCCCCCCCGGGGGGGGGGGGGGGGAGGCTCGGGAGGCCGCTTGGGCCCCGTTTGCCAACGAGGGGGACCCCCCCCCCCCTCCCCCTTCATCCCCGGATTTATGGGATCAGGGAGGGGAAATCCAATGGAAAAGGATTTGGAGACCTGTCCAGGAGCTGCCTCTTCATCCTCCTCCTCTTCATCCTCCTCCTCTTCATCCCCCTCCTCCTCTTCCTCTTCCTCCTCGCTGCTCCCGGCCTCCAGGATGGCTGCGGGGACACCAACGGGGACAGGAGCGTCCCCTCCTGAGGGGGGGACACAGCCCTGGGGTCCCCCAGGTGGGGTTGGGGACATCCCTGGTCCCCAGGGTCGGGGGGGTCCCCAGGGTCGGGGGGTCCCCAGGGTCGGGGGGTCCCCGGTGTCCCCCCGCACCTCGGGAATTTGGATCCCGACCCCTTTTCCTGGGATTGGAGCCTCCCCCCCACCCCAGCCGAGCCCCCAGTTCTGAGGAGGGAAAATCCCCCCCCAGATCCCAAATCCCATTTGTGACCCCCCAAAAAAATCCCCCAGGATGTTCCCCAACCCCAAATCCCAAATTTTAAACTCCGCTCGTGACCCCAAAAATCCCCCACTAGGTTCCCCCTTCCCTGTGAGGTGTCTCCCAACCCCAAACCCCACTCCTGACCCCCCAAAATTCCCGCAGGATGCTCCCCAAATCCCAGTCCCCAAACCCCAGTCGTGACCCCCCAAAATTCCTGCAGGATGTTCCCCAACCCCAAATCCCAAATTCCAAACCCCACTTCTGACCCCAAAAATCCCCCACGAGATTCCCCCTTACCTCTGAGGTGTCCCCAACCCCAAATCCCAAACCCCAGCCCCCAAACCCCACTCGTGACCCCAAAAATTCCCGCAGGATGTTCCCCTTTACCCTTGAGGTTTCCCTCTCCTCCTTCCCAAGTCCAGGCCATGCTCGGGGCACCCCAAAACCCCGGAGATTTTGGGGCGCCTCCCTCTCCCCGCCGCTGCCTCCTCCTTCCCCTATAGGGAAGTGAAACCACCCCCCCCTCCCTCTCCCCTCCCTCCCTCTCCCCTCCCCCTCCAGGGGCCCCCCAATCCCAAAAGGGGGGGAAGCGAAACCCACAGAGGGATGTTGGGATTTCCCCCTAAAGGAGCTTTTCCCCTAAAATACAAAAATATGGGGTTTGGAGG